AATTCCCCAGCCAGCCATGCTGGGGAATTCTGGGAGTCGAAGTCCACCCATCTTAAAGTTGCTGAGGTTGAGGAACCTTGCTCTACAATGTGCAGGATCGACCTCCTAATACGATTTCCACTTATCATCAATTATTTTGTACTCTTCGATCAGGAAGCCCTACTTTCCTAAAGCCAAAGTGTGTGTGTGTGTGTGTGAAATAACTGCAATTAACACAGTGAGGGAGAAGCACACTCCAAACATGCTCAGGGGAACTGTCATACAAACAGTCTTAAGAGGCCTCCTTCGCTACTGCACGGTGGCTGCGTTCACCCAACCTGCTTAACCAAAGGCTGGACCTGCCTGACATGCTAATCTTGGTTAGTTTTAATCTCAGTTAGTGTTTTTGAGTCTTAGCATATGGTATGAATCCAGCCCACGTTGTTCAAAGCCGGAACATGGATTAATTAATTAATTAATGGATTAATTCAGCAACCAGGCATGTTATGAGAACGCAGCCAATACGTGGTGGGTTCCTACTTAATTATACCAACCGCTATAGAGCGATTAATAGATAGATGACCATGAACTATATGACAGGGTTAAAAAGAGCCTCTGAGTCCAGAGGCAGTCTACCTACGGGCAGCAGATCTTGGGAGGACAAATAGTTTGGCCCTGCTGCTTCTGCTTAGCTTACGGAAGCTCTCCTGGCCTCCAGACCTGTGGGGACTACAAGTCCCCAAATGCCCGGCCAGTATGGCTTATGGGTTTCCCTGAGAAATCTGCTGGCCACTTAGAATAGGTTCTACTGAACAGGCCCGGGAGCTGCTTGGTTCACCCAAACCATAAATGAGGGTTACCACCGCATAACGTTATGAGGGCTTCACGTGAAGGCCTGGTTTCCCAACCCTTGGAGCACCAGTTGCGCAAACTGGGCCAAACTGGGTGTTGCAGGGCTCCCTTTCTGCACTCCCTCCTTCGGGGTCCATGTGCTAAATGCTTTGGATGCCAGCAGGGCCTGGCGCTCTTCCCTGGCGCCCCGGGGCCAACTCACCAGGCAGGAGCAATTCAAGCAGGGGTCAGAAGCGGCCACGAAGACGTCTCCGTCCGGGTGCTGCTCTCCTTCGTACTCGCAGCCTGAAGAGAGGCGGGCAGCGAAGATCTCGGTGCGCGGCACCTGCACCCCCCTCCTCACGGGGACCCACTCCTTCCCGTTTGCCTTTTTCTTATTTCAGTTTTTTGTTGCACACCTTGCATGTCTGCACAAACCACCCCCAAACCCCCTCAAGCATCACTGGTCGCTGGTGCAAAGAAGGAAACGGGTCTGCTAACCCACCGAACACACCTGATTCTCCCCCCCCCGGCACACTTTATCTTTTATCGTTTGGGGTAGCCCACCGCCCGTACACTATGTGGGGGCAGAGGAGAGGACCTTTGAGAAGGCACGTGGAGACCGCTAGTTAGCAAAACACGTCCTCAGTCCAGGGAAACAAGACGGCGTGAGACAGAAGCCCAAGAGGGTCCCGCCTTGACTCTCTTCCGTATCAGGGGGAGGGAAGGGAAACGTCACCAGGCTTTCAGGATTCTGCTATCATGGCCCAGATTTCGAAAAGCGGAGTTCTAGTGTTTCGGGTGGTGCCTATTTCCTAACCTAGTCTACCTCGAAGGGCTGACAGAGGAACACAGTTGCAGCTTTCGTTCTAAGATGAGACCGGAGGCCCCGGGCTTTCCCCTGTACCCTACATCCGCTCTTACCTGGACGGCAACTGGGACAGCACTGCCCAGGTGGCGTGTAGCGGTCCTGGCACAAAAGCTGCGGGCATTCAGTCACTTGGCACCGGACTGTGCCTGCCTGGCACCATCGGAGAGACAAAGCAAGATTTACCCAAGTTAGCTAAAGTGGCACCTGGACAGGAGGGAGGGCACTGGATGTTCCTCCCTGACATCATCGGAGGGCCCAAGCTGGGACAAAGCGGGCTACGGAGCTGGCCTGGCATTCCCAGTGCCTCACAGATACTTTGGGAAGAGGAGAAGGAAGTGTCAGTAATGGAGTGGGCGGCCCAGATTTTGTGCTGTGACCTCTGAACCTGCCCCCCCCTCACCTCACAGGTGCAGTGGGTGCAGGGGTCCTCCAGGAAGCCGTCTCTGTCCTTCAGCAGATGTCCCTTGTACAGGCAGTCCCCACACTCTGGGCAACACTTGTCCCCAGGGGTGGCAGGATGCTGGCACGGCGCAGGGGGGCAATCTTCCACTTCACAGGTGACTCTGCCATCCTGGGGGGCAAAGAGACCCACATTCTCTGCTACAAAACGGGAAGATTCTGCTACCCCTTCTGCTCTGATTGCCAACGGGGGCACTGTTTTCCACGGGGGGTGGGAGGGAGACCAGGAAGCTGGCATCTGTACTGGTACGGCCTCCCGCTCACCTTGCACTGGCATCTCCGACAGGGATCTGGCGTCCAGCTCTCACCTTCTTTCCTCCCATCAGTGCAACCTGCAGGGAGGGCAGAAGTCATGGGAAGACGGGGAAAGGTGCACCTGTTGGACTTCTCCTTGCAGAGAAGTGGTTAAAGGGAGAAGTGCAACGCAGGGCATGCAAGGGGAGAGGAAATGTCTCTGGGGAAAGCTGCAATCGTGCTTGTGAGTGTTGGGGGGTGTTTCCTGGGGTGGGGCAGGAAAGGGAGGGGGCCTCAAGAAAGGCAAATATTCGGCAGGGGGTAGTTTAAATGAAGAATTTCTTTCTCTGGAAGATGGTGCTGCTGGCTGGGGTGTCCAGGAGGGGGAGGTCAAAAACATCAAGATGGCCGTCTCAATCGTGCAATCGAAGCCTTGGCTTCGATTGCACGATTGAGACGCCCATCTTGATGTTTTTGACCTCCCCCCCGCGGACAACCCTGACTGGTGGAGCTACAGAAATCCACATTGCAGAACACACTCCCCTTTTCTAGATCGATCCGGTCATCTTTGCAAGAGCTGGAAAGGGAATGCTGCCACAATCCGGGGTCCCCCACCTCCCCAAAAGACGCCGGGATCGGCCCTGGGAGCCTCGGACCCCAGCCCCTTCCTCACCCAGGCAGTGCATCCGGCTGGGTTGCCAACTGCACTCCGGCTTGCCTTGCACACACACGCAGGAGGTGCACGGGTCTTGGTCCCAGGAAGCCCCCTCCTCATAGGACCGCCCGTCTGCGAAGCAGGTCAGCCGCCGACACTCGCAGTGCTCGAGGGACTTCACCCGGCCCAGCAGGTCTGAGTTCTGTGGAGGGAGGGGGCAGATGGTCGGGTTGCAGGACCAGAATGGTGCAAGCGCAGAATGGGGTCATTCCCCCATATTCTCTGTCGTGGCAAGGCCACTTCTCTGTTCTTTTAGAAGCGAGTTTCTAGTCCTCATGCCCGAAGAGCAAAACAGTGCCTAAACTGCATGGACTGACCCTTTAAAAAGTCAAAGGAGGATGGTCAAAACCTTCCCTTGTCAATCACTTGGTGTTCAGTGATCCTTAGCTTGTCTCCTCCCGGTCAGGGTGCCTGGGGGGCATTCATCTGGGTGCTGCACCCGGGCCATTGCAGGGAAGGAAGGTCAGGGGTCACTTCTCAGGCTGCAGCCAAGCGCAAAAGTCAAGGGGAGGGCAATGGTGGCTTCTCCAACGGGAAAGCCCTGCTCTTCCCGATCACTTGGTTGGAGGACCCGGCAGGCAAAAGGAAGCCCACCTCTGGAGCTCCAACCCCTGGAGTTCCCTGCAATGGAGATGGGTGGGGCTGGAAGGCAGGGGGCAGGAGGCAGGGGGCAGGAGGCGGAGGCGGAGGGGCCTCCGATCTCTAGGAAGTCCATGACCAGATTGCTGACCAGATGCTTTGTGCCCTTGAAAAGTACCCACTCTTGGGTCTGAGTGGCTGGCACAGGGAACAGATGCTCTTATGGGAGATCGCTATGCTCGCTCGGTCCTTAACGTCCTAGACTTCTATGATCTTGCATGTCTCATGATGTGGTGGGACCTCCGTTAATCAGGAGGCAGCCCCTGCCCACAGCAGGAGCCACGCTGGAATCCCTTTTCAGTTGACTCGGAGACGGTGCTGTCTGGGCGCATCAGCCACACGTGGCTTTATTGTCACGGTGGGATGGTTGCTCCTTGACCAGGCTTAGACTGGCAGTGAGTACAAGCCTCTGTGTGGGTGGAGGACCAGTGAACAGGGTGTCACCCAGGTACGTGACAGCTCCAGATGGTTTTCTGAATGCCCTTCCTTTGTCAAGCAGAACATCTGCTCAGCGCTAAAGTGGAGTAGGATCTGGCTGATCTCTGCAACTGGAGATGGCCCCGGAAGAGATGGGAGCCCGGGAAAATAGAAAGCGCATGAAGTAAACTCAAAACAATTCCCTCTTGGTTGGGTTAAGTATAGCTGGAACACAGAAGTGCTCAGGCAGGCTTTTATAATTCTGGAGTCCTTGGGGTCTCTGAGCTTGGCTATTTTCTTGCAGATGTTTCATTACCCGGCTAGGTAACATCTTCAGTTGGGTACCTAGCTACCTGCTTAGCCAGGTAATGAACCTTCTGCAAGAAAACAGCCAAGCTCAGAGAACCCCAAGGACCCCACAGTGCAACCCTGAGCTACAGATATTCTCTTCTATTTTATAATTCTGTTCCAATATTCTGGCACTCTCGGACTCAACTGCACTGAATCCAGGAAGCCTTGGACTAAATCTTCCTTCCCAGAATAAATCCTCTGAACACCATTTTGCCTCTGCCTTGGTGGGTTTGGAGACAGGTAGCAGAGGAGCGGACTGCAAAGCTGCCTTCTGGCTTTAAACTCGGTCAGCCCCGTCTTCAGGATAACTACCAGGAAGAATTGCCTAACGTTTCTGGAACGGTCCTCACCTGCTCCTTCACCATGTCCAGCATCGTCCCCAGTCCCTCCACCAGCTCCTCCAGCCTCTGGATCCGCTGTTCTGGGCTGGCCACACCAGACCGTGCAGATCCCAGAGGAGGGAAATCCGGCTGGCTGGGCTCCTGCTGGTAGTGGTGGGTATCCGCCAGGGCCAGCGGCTCAAAGCGTGGCAAGGAATCCAGTTCGAGGGAAGGTCCCTCCAGCAGATCCACGTACTGCTCCTCAGGCAGAGCGTAGGGCAGAGAGAACAGGTCCAGCTCTGTGGGTCGGCAACACAAGAGGTCAGAAGTACCTGGCACGAGGAAAGGGAATCCCCACAAGCACCTGACCCCCATTTCCTGGGGCAATCAATGGGAGTCTATTGGAACTCCTCATCTTTTAGCAGACCCAGGACAATGAAGACCAAGCACTAACTGAAGATGTTTTGACATACTTGGGGTGGACAGTGAGATCTTCCTTGCTAGTCCATGGGAAGAACTTGGGAGGAATGTGCGTGGGTGCCCACAATGTGAGGAAAGGAAGCCGTGCAGGAGTGTTAGAGACCCAGCTGGCATCTTTCATGGTACAACACCATTTCTTGACCCAATGAACCTGGCTCAAACCCAGCAGGATAAACAGCTGTGCCTTTCAAAATCAGTCAGTCAATCTACACCTGGATCACTCCAATTTGTATTTGTAAATCCCTGCCCACTTAGCGATCTGCCACTCAGTAAAAGCTATCACTAATTAGTTCACCTCCAGCCTGAGACAGATCTTGAAATGTAGAGCTCATGCTGTTAACGTCCAGCCTTAGTTTGAGATGTTTCTTGTTCCTTCCCCATCTTTGGCAATTTCAGTCCTGATGGGGAGTCCTAGAGGGCTTGGAGACGGCCACACAGTTTTCTCTCCAGAGAAAGAGGAAGATAGGACAATTCCTGTCCTATCTGGAAAGAGCTGAGCTGGGAACATTCCTTAAAGTATTAAGTTCCAATCAAGAGATGTTGAAAGACATAGAATGATGGGGTAGCGCAACCCCCTGCCCAGGGCAGCAAGGCTGGCACATTGGCCATGCAATCTTTTCTTTCAAACGTCCAGTGTCAGGCTGCCTGTACCTTCGTGTTTAGCCTTTCTGCGATATATTATGGCATTGAAACCAACATCCTGAGAATCTGATGGAGAGCGCACGCTGCTTGTGTGATGGAAAAAACTCCATGTGCAAATTTGTAGTTGGGAGAAGTCAGATAAAGGAGCGATGTTGGATTTCCAGGGATCCCGGCCAGAAGCCCTGCTGCGGCACACAGACGCGCCCTTTGCCCAGTCCCAATCTAATTGATTTAAGCAGAACCAGGCCAAATTATGCAAAGGGACTATTGTGCAAAAGTTGTTCATACGCCTGATTTACTCTGGACGCCTCGTTTTGTTTAATTCCAGCTCGAATCCTGGATCTCAGCCAGAGGATTCAGCCATCAAGGCTTACCCTCGGTGGCCAGAGACGTGGGAAGGAGCAGCTCTGGCAATCAGACCTTGGCTGCTTGGAGTCTGGCTCCTGCAGGGCCAGAAAGACACCTCCTCCCCCCCCGAACCTTGGCTCTGATGCCAGAGGCACCAGGGCTCTCAGCAGCAGCCCCACCTGGCACATGTGCTCAACCCTTCCGCGTGGGCCATTAGCAGAAAGAGCAACTCTTCCCAGCAGGAAAGGATGAGAAAAGGGGAGAGGAGTGGGAGAAGGAAAAAAAAGGGGGGAGCTTCTGGGAAGGGCAGCCAGTGCAGGAAGCACAGGGCGAGAGAGGGAGGAAAGAATCACGTCAGCCAGCTAGGACTCCCCTCATGCTCAGCCAACCAGGGATGGCCAGGTTTGCAACTCAGCACTTCTGGGAGGGGAGCACCAGGGTGGGGAAAGACCTGGTTAGGCAGAAAACAGGCCTTAGGCAAGCCTGTTCTCAGGGAGGGCCCCTCCCCACCTCCAAGCCCACCAAGCGGTAGGAAAGCAAGAGCGGAGGGGACGGGTCTGGGGACCATCCACCTCCAGGACCGCCACTAAGGAAGGGTCAGGTGAACGGGCAGCTGGCCAGGCGTGTGTGTGCGTGTGTGTTCGAGTAACAAGAGCAGCCCAGAGACCCCGAGCTGGGCGGAGGAGACCAGGCTGCACCTTTGCCTGCTCTCGGGACACCTGCGGCAATGGGATGCTTGCCCCCCCCAGCTGGGAAGGGGGTGTTTCCAGCCAGAATTCTGCAGGGAGGGGCGGCAGGAGCGACGGGAGGCTGCAAGCCAGAACTGCAGAAACCTTTTGCCGAGGTTTGACGAAACCCCCCAGGTGCCCACAAGCTTTGAGGGTGTGATGGGCAAGCCTTCTCCCCGAGTGTCACTTGGGAGCCTTCCTGACAACACAGCCACAGGGACAACCTGCTCCCGAGCCATCTGGACTCAGGGGCCGTGCGGACACCCTCCTCCCCCGGCCCCAAACTTGGCAAGGCTGGGTTCCCATAAGGGAAAATGCCAAGCTAGGGAGGGGAGATGCCCTGATTCACTCAACCATAATGAACCCAGACAATGGCTGGATTTCCCACCAACCTGGCGCAACCCGCCCCCCCCCCCCCCCCCCCCCCCCCC